ATTAGGTTTCTGATGTTTTGTGACTCAATGTAAGCCACTTCTTCACAGAGTAAATAACTGAATAAAAGTTAATCCAACCTTTAACAGTATACATTGACAGTATAAATTAAAACTGTTTAACTGAAATTTATTACAAACACATAGTTCCATTTAATATTTTGAAGAGAGCAAGAACAACGATTGATAAAGAATAATCTGAATCCATTTGATTTCGTTGGGTTCTCATCAGTTGCTTACAACCTGTAATATTCTCCAAATCAAAGTTATGACAGTTCTTGACACACTTATACATACGAAGGTAATTAGAGATGAATATGTGTATCATGATGTAGTGAAAATTTCAATGGAGTTCAATAAGGTCATAAAAATTGTTTGTTTTGGGTAAATATAGTTTAGGAGAGAAGGTTCCAGAACATTGAAATAGTGTTTATAACTCATGGAGTTAACTATCATTAGATGATTATGTAATGAAGTAACTGAAAATAGATTAATGATAATAAAGAAAGGTAAGAATTGAAATCAGTCAATTAGGAATTGAAGAAAATGACAGTGATGTAATTTAAAATTCAGAGAGTTGAAATATTGAATGATGTAATAAATATAAAGGAGTGTAATGTTACCAGGGCAAAGAAAGATTTATTATTGTCTCTTTTTGGATACAGATCTGGTTTTAGACATTCGATTGCTATAGCTTCGGCAAATTTCAGAAGACTTGAGTTCGACTGTTTATTAATCACCGTGAAAGATTTCACTGTATCCACTTGACGTTTTGTATCATGAAGATTTCTCGACATGGCACTTGATCTTAAACGTTTGGGACGTAGGCTCTTCTTTCTATTCTGACAATGTATTTACTCTGAAAGATACATAACAATTTGTATACATAGATGTTGGTAACATGAAAGTAATACCTATAGATCTTTGATTGCGTTAAGGAACATGTTGTTTTGAAAGAAAACAATCATTGAAAACTTTCAGCAGATTCTTTGCATGTTGTTGATTGTTACATATGATGAAGGTGTTATCAATAAACCTCGAGTAATACATACTCTCTCTTGAGCTTAGCTCTTTGGAGGTTAGCCATGAAAATATTTTCTAGTACAGGACCTAATGGAATTCCCATCGCTACACCATCAGTTTGATTTCAACTCATATCTCTATTTATTACCATTAATCTGTTTGTTTATTTCTTCAGTTACTTCATCATACAATTATCTAATATTAGGTAACTCTATGAGTTCAGATCACACTAGTTCAATGTTCTTGAACTTTCCCTTTCAAATTTTATTTATTTATCTGAAATAAAAATTCTCTATGACCTTATTGAACTCTATTGAAATCTTTACTACATCATGATATACATATTCATCTCGAACCACCTTTGAATGTCAATATCTGTTATTACTTTAATTTTCGAATACTAAAGGTTGTAAGCAACTGAAGAGAATCTAACGAAATAAACTGAATTCATACTATTAAATGTTATTAGTCAAACGTTAATTTTTTCACCTACTAACGTCTATTACTTTCAATGGAGAATAGGCCGCCAACCAGCATTGTACAACCTACTTTATCTAATTCTTGTTCATTTTTCTTATGTCTGTCTCCATTTCTCAACGTAATGTTTTCTTTCGTTTTCCCCTTATCCTTTGACCTTGAGGATTTCAAGTGAGGGCTTGCCTAAATGTGTGTCTTATCCGCTTCCAGTACCTCTTCCAGATTTCTTCCTCCACTGGGATCTGGTTTGTTCTCTTCCACAGTAGGTTGTTGCTGAAAGTGTCTGGCCAACGGGTCAGAAGTATTTTGCGTAGACAACTGATTATAAACACCTGTATTTTCTGGATGATGGCTTTCGTAGTTCTCCAGGTTTCCGCCTCATTTGTATTGAAAATTCTGACCTTGGTGTTGGTTGACAGTTGTTTTGAGTTCCACATGTTGTAGATATACTGCTCATGGTTTGCCGATCCGCGCCTTCACATCTGCATCAGATCCGCCGTGTTCATCAATGATGCTGCCCAGATATGTAAAGGTTTTTACATCTTCCAAATCTTCTCCATCAATTGTGATTGAATCGGTGCATGTTGTGTTGTTTCGGAAAATCTTGCTTTTCTCTTTGTGTATGTTGAGACATATTGTTATTGAGGATGCTGCTACAAATTCGGTTAAATACTGAAAAACATATGGATGTTTACAGTTATGGACTTAAATCCAAACATTTCTAAAATAGAAAATAAATATATACTTGGGATGGTTTGTGAGGATTAGATTAAATTGATGTACAATAAACCTTTTATGATACTGATAAGAAAATGTTAGTTCCTTAAGTTTGCAGTGAAAATGATGATTATTTCCGTACTTACTTACACCTGTTACTCCTCGTGAAGGAACATAGGCTGCTCACCAGCATTCTCCATCCAACTCTGTCATGGACAATCCTTTCCAGCACGCTTCAGTTGTTATTCATCCTTTCCATATCTGATTCTATTTTCCGATGTAATGTGTTCTTCGGCCTTCCACTTTTCCGCTTCTCTTCACGATTCCGAGTTAGCGCTTGCCTCGTGATGCAATTTGGTGATCTGCGTAATGTATGTCCTATCCATTTCTATCGTCTTTTCTAATTTCTTCTTCAGCTGGAAGTTGCTTTGTTCTCTTCCGTAGTAGGCTGTTGCTGATGGTATCCGGTCAGTGGATGTTGAGTATCTTGCGTAGACAACCATTTATAAATAATTGTACCTTCTAGATGGTTGTTGTTGTAGTTCTCCAAGTTTCAGCTTCGTACAGTAGAACTGTCTTGACGTTCGTATTGAAGATTGTGACTTTGATATTGGCTGAAAGTTGTTTTGATTTTCATATGTTCTTCAATTGTAGGAATGCAACCCTTGTTTTGCCAATCATATCCTTTACGATCTCGTCAGATGCTCCACGTTCATCGATGGTGCTACCCAGATAAGTGAATGTTTCCACCTGTTCCAGAGTTTCTCTATCAAGTGGGAGTGTGTTGGTTTGTATTCTCAGTGTTGTATTTGAGGATCTTGCTTTTTACTTTGTGTGTGTTGAGGCCTACTGATGTAGAGCCTCTGCTACACTAGTTGTCTTCATCTGCGTTTGTTCGTGTGTATGGTATAGGTGATCTAGATCATCTGCGAAGTCTAAATCGTCTAATTGATTCTGAGCTGTCCATTATATTCCGTGCTTTCCATTATTTCAATAGTAAAACGTTTATTGTCATAAGTCTCACCTGAAAGCATTCGTTCATCAACATACTACACAAGAAACCAGTTTTGTTAAGAGATGTGGAATATAAGTTACAACAGTTGTCTACATTTCCATTGTATTACTTCAAATGGGAATGTGTTAGATGTTTCGTATAAACACACACCTCTTGATTAATCATAAATGATATATAGTGTTTCCAATTTGATCACTATATGAGCTGTGACTATTGGAGCTAAAGTTTGCTGGATATGAGGGAGTCATCCAATGGAGGAAATGGAAATGGTCACGCAATGTCGTAAAATGATTAACGTCGGACATTAACACCGTCTAGAAGTTAATCGTTCACGTGCGGGATCGAAGGTTCTGCATTCGTGTGGGTTTGTGGATGGTATTATAAAAGTAGATTGTCACTCAGTAATCTGATTGGTATCAAGGTAGTTACTAAATATGACGTTTCTGATTTCGATCCTATGTTTCATGATTTACAAATGGTTATATCGATTTATAGTGAACTGAAGGGAAGTCTCAACATACCATTTACTATACAAAAAATAAATTTAACACATAAATTGTGTCCAATATGAAGTAGCAAAACAGTTACTTACATTTAGTTCGACAATATGATACTAATTGTGTACATACTTATCTGAAACGCAACTGGTGAAAAGTTAGAGTGACAATTAAACTTACAATTTTTCAGATTACAGTACTATATAATCTTAGATAGACATTAAAAACTGTATATATCATTCTAGTATAAGATATTTCAGTAGTGAGTGTCCTTTACTTATTTATTTGTCATCTCATTAGATTTGTGTGAGGGCTGCGATACTGATCGGGTGCCCAGACCGAAGTAGATGGTTTCCATAGGGGGCCACACCTGGAGCCTTCGACTTAAAGGTCTGATCCACAAGGCAGTGGAGCATCGTGCGGAGATGCAATCCCATGGTTGCCGGTGACCAATAATTGGTTCATATGCCGTTTGTTCCCTAAGGATACTAAAGCCCATGTGCACCATTGGTTTGATATCAGGGTTTTCCAACTCCCTTAGGAGGACTTACCGGCCCGGTTAAAGCACCGTACATTCTCTTTTCGTCCTCTCAATTTCGTAAACAACAGTAGTGTCACGAAAAGGCAGTGAGTAGGATTTCCCTGGTAGAGGCTATATACACGTGCACATGTGAGAGTATTTCGAGAGGGAGAACGAACTTTCTCCACTCTCGGCCGTATCATAGCATTCGGGGGCAAGTATCCATTACCCAAGTATCCATTACCCCTACCAAGATCCTCAAGTCACATAGTGAACGTTTAATATTAAAAAAAACATCATTATAATCAAATTTCTCAGACAAATATAGAAATGAAATGAAATGAAGAAATGAATAAGTAAACATTCATATGAACTATTTTTAGTTTAAAATTATAAGGTGTCTAGTAAATAAATAATTTGGAAATCAAATAGGTTCAACAGTAACCGTGATTGGTAATAACAATATGTTACATTTTGTTAGTTTGTATATGGATCATGTTTTAAACTTTACATGTATATATATATATTGACATGTTTTATGTACCTAAGTGAAATTCATGTGCATGTGTGTATGTATGTGTGTGTAGTTTTGTGTATATTTGTCCACAGTAGAGTTACATGAACTATTACTACTGAAAGAATCCTTCATAAATTAATCGATTGGTTTGTTCAATTTTAAGAAAAATGCCAAACTATTTTCTTCAAAAGTAGATATATATATATATAAAACAAATCAAAAGGAAAGAAATATTAAATGATAGGCGGACATGTTGTTATGTTGTTATTCGTCTTAGAAACAACTATAATTATTGTTATTTGTTGTTATTGTGGTAATCACTAAGAGAGAGAGAGAAAGAGAGCGAGAGTGAGAGAGGGAAAGAGATGAACAGAAAACAAAACAAAAAAAAATAACCATGAAAAGGATATATTCTTCACCTGTTTACATTACTGATTCATTATGACATCAATGATTTCTTTTAATAATCTATACAATGATTATCAGCATAATTCTATAATGATATTGAATTCTTTTTTTAATTACTCCGATTATTATTATTATAAAAAGTATTTTTTTTAACTGATTGATCGATCGATTAATTGATTGATTGATTAATTGAAAGATAAACAAGGTGACAGAAAGATTTATTATGATGTCAGGAAATTATACATCATCATCATCACCATCACCATCACCATCATCATCATCACCATCATCGTCTAATCAATGGATAGGAAATAAATCATTCTATATACGTGATAATACTAATCCAACCTTACAACATATCATAGAAAGTTGTAATTATGAACCATTTTCTAATTATAACACTAGAATAAATTCAAAATCATATAGTCATTCACAAAATCGTTATGATACATTGTATCATTCGAAACAGCAACAACAACGGCAAAATGATGCATTCAATTGTAATATGCCAAGAATTGCATTATCACCGCCACTTCCACCGCCGCCGCCGCCACCACCACCACCACAGATTCAAAAATCAATTAGAAATTATCAGCCTATGAATGAATCATATTGCATACCTAAACGATCATATTCACCATTAATTATTCAAAATAAATTAGAAACAGAAAAAGGAAATTATTCTTATTCTAAATCAATGATAAAACAACAAAATCCATATCATCCTATTCAATATACAAAATCATCAATACAAATTATACCAGAAACAATATTACCAATAAATCGATTAAATAAAAATCCAATCAATCAATATAGATCACAATTTAATCCATCTTTATCATCTTATAGATCAAGTCAACCAAATGAAAATCAATTAAAATCATCTTTGAATGTAATCAATTTAAAAAGAACAATATTACCAGAGATATCTCATAATTCTATAATAAATCCAAGTCATATAATGAATTCACAAAGAAGAACTCATTCACCTATAAAATGTAATATATTAGAGAATAATAATAATAATAATAATGAACCGGATATTTGGAATATTGGTTCATCAACTGGATTTGATCAATCCATTTATATTGAACATTCAAAATCTCGAATAAATAAATCATCATTATGTAATCAAAAATATAAATTATTCAATTTATCAAAACAACAATTAACTTTATATCATGATGATATGAATATGAATCTAATGAATTCAGATAATGGGAATAATTTATTAAATACAGATGATGAAACAGTTTCATTAAATACAATAGATGATCATAATGAAGAGAATATAAAATTATTAAATAAACAATCAAATTCATTAAAACAATTTCATGTCAATAAATATGAATTAGATGGTTCAACTAAAACATTGATTCCATCTAATCAATTAAATTATCCACTTAGTACTTCATGTAAATCAATAGATTGGAATAAAAGTCAAACTAATAATTTATTGAATGAAAAATTGATTGTAAGTATAGTCTATTAGTTTTATCTTTCAATGATATAATATTGATTTATGCATGAATAATCTGTAATGTCGGTTACTATGTTAAGCCCATATACCTTATTCTAGGTTTCGGATAGATCATTTCTATTCATTCTACTTGAGTCACATTCTGACCTTGTTATTTATTCGCTTATCAATCTTGACTGTTTTTATATGAGCGAGGTAGAGGTGTGTGTACATTTCTTATCCCATTACTCATCACATGTCTGTAACTTACATCTGTGTAACTATAATTATTGATTAACGCTTGGTTAAATGGGTGTTGGCTTACCCGCCATCTCCACTCTGTGTCGTTTCTCTTATCTCTATTCCATTCGCTTTATATACAAAATATATATGTATTCACAAGTCTATTCTCGTTATTCGACATATTTAATTCCATTATTGACTAACGCGACTCAAGTCGATGATTACATACGAGGACAAGCGATATATATATTTCAATAACAAACATTCATTACGATCATCTTGGAGTCAGATCCACGGGCCACTAAAGTGAAGAGCCCGTCAACAAACATTGTCTGATCTAAACAACGACGAAATAATGGGCCCCACTAATAATCAAAAGTGGTTCTCGTCATTAATTGATATGAGTTGAAAAGGTTCAAGAATAACTCATATCATCATATGGAGTATACGGTCTAAAGGATATAAGTCTTGTAGATTTTAGTGATTCTTCATATGATATCAGTTTATGATAGAAACTATTATCAAATGAATTGTCGATAATGAATACTTAACCAATTAATAGAAGGGTATTTTAGTGGCTCTTTATCCGACTTCAATTCGATCGTATGTATGATTGTTATTGAAACATATATGCCATCAATCCTCATGTATTATTATGGACTGAACTCGTTTTAGTGAATAACGGGATTAAAATAGGTCAAACCCATGAATAGATTTTGAATATGTATATACAGTTAGGGAAACGTAGCGAAACAAATCAGAGATGGCATGTGAGCCAACTCGATTAAACCAAGCATCACTCAATATTTATATTCAGACAAAAATGTTACAGATATGTGATGAATAGTAGTATAAGCAATACATTCACACATGATTATATAAAAACAGTTGATAAGCGAATAACTGATACGGTGAAAATGTGACCCAAGAAGAATGAGAAGCCGTGACCGATGAAGTTCAGTCGGGTCCATTATGAGGTTGTAACTCACTGAAGACAATGGTGAACAGTGGCGTAATTTTGTGAATTGGTTAAAGTTAGACATTACCATTGTTGGATACCTGCTCAATGTTCTGAAGGTTAAGCATTCATGCGCGTGGCTGAAAGTCCTGGGTCCGAATCCCATAAGTAAGATCGTGAATATGCACTGCTGAGGAATCTCAAACTAGAATGAAACGGCCGTTCAGTACTTCCGGGTTTTCAATGGTAGTCTAACATTGATCGATTCATGATCTCAATCCCCCCAAAAAAGAACGATAATTAAATGTGTTGTAAATTTAAAGATATAATATATCACTTGTAAATAATAAGATTTGTAATTTATGAAGCCGACTTTCAAATTCACAATAAAACATTATAAACTAGCTAAGACCGAATATTGTAAAGTCAATTGACCGAAAGGACTGAAGATATTGAATTGAGAATTTATTCAGTGAACAGTTTTTTAAATTCTAACTGATTAAATGTCAAATAACAGAATTAGTTAACTGAATTAAATGGAAATATTACGTAATGAAATTTTCTATTGTGTTATGTATGTTATGTATGAGGAACAAGTGCTGATGAACTGGAAAGAAGAACACCTCATCAAGATTCCAAAGAAAGGAGATCTGAGCAAATGTAAAAACTACAGAGGTATCACACTACTGTCAATACTAGGGAAGGTCTTTAACAGAGTGTTGCTGAACCGGATGAAAGATGCAGTAGACGCCCAACTTCGAAATCAACAAACTGGATTCCGTAAGGATCGGTCATGTACAGACCAATTTGCAACACTACGGATCATCGTCGAACAATCAGTTGAGTGGAACTCGTCACTTTACATCAACTTCATTGATTATGAAAAGGCATTTGACAATGTGGATAGGATAACGTTATAGAAACTTCTTCGACACTACGGAGTTCCTGAGAAGATTGTCAATATTATCCGGAACTCATATGACGGACTACAGTGCAAGGTCGTGCATGGAGGACAGCTGACAGATGCATTCCAAGTAAGGACCGGAGTCAGACAAAGCTGTCTACTCTCTTTCTTCTAGTGGTCGACTGCATTATGAAGACCTCGACATCACAGGGAAAACACGGAATACAATGGACAGCTCGAAATCAATTAGACGATTTGGACTTCGCAGATGACCTATCTCTCATATCTAATACACACGAACAAATGCAGATAAGAACAGCCAGTGTAGCAGCAGTCTATGCATCAGTATGCCTCAACATACAAAAGGGGGAAACCAAGGTCCTCGAGTTCAAAACGGAGAACAGCAATCCAATAACTTTTGATGATGAAACTATGGAAGATGTAGAATCCTTCACGTCGATCCTTAGATTAGACTACTAGCTGAAACACTAGAATTATTTCTTTTTAATAATTTTTAGCTGTAGACTGTTATTAAATATAGATTAACCATTAAGACATATCCAACAGTAGTTTCACGAAGATATTCAGTATAAATTTATTCATTATCCTTTGAGGTATATTTTACCTCCAGAACAGTAACTGATAATGTTGTCCGGTTTTATAAATCAAAGTAAGCTGTATTTAGAACAGATCAACAATTATTTTGAAGATAGAAGGTGTACATTGTTTTTGTATACTAAAATATCAGAATATAAGTAGACTAAAATATGAATACATTTAGTATACTACTTTTAAGATCAAGATGTTTTTATTTCTTGAGTTTACTGAATCTACGTACTAGAGTATCTTAAGAAATTGGCATAAAATTGTCAAATCAGTATTTTATGATCAGAATGAGGGTTGTGAAGAATGTAGTAACTAAAATAGTTGAATTCATGAGTCGATATAAACTAGTCCACCATGGAAAACCTGGAAGCACTGGATGGCCGTTTCACCCTAGTATGGGACTCCTCATCAGTGCGCATCCACGACCCCACTCAGTGGTTTAGTTGGTTAGGCGCCTGGCGCGAGACTGATAGGTCCTGGGTTCGAATCTCGCGGGGTGCGGGGCCGTGGATGAGCACTGCTGAGGAGTGCCATACTAGGATGAAATGGCCATTCAGTGCTTCCAGGTTCTGGGATACCTCCGATCACCTAAGTTTACTATTTCAGAATTATAATAAGTACAGCATAATTAGTCAAAACAAAGTAAGGAAATACAAACTCATGAATCACAAATTTAGTCTAGTTGACTGTTTAAAGTTTATTTAATGGAATAGCGTTTGAAACCAGTGAATTTAAAATCATAAAAATCTAGAATAATCATAACTGAATGATTTATCAGATGAGATTGCTGTTGGCTAGTAGTTGAATTAAAAACGCTCATTTCAGCCCATTTGAAACTTATCAGCCTACGATGATTGTGTCTGAATGGTAATATTAAAGAAATTCACACAGAATGCATATATGACAAAATGAGACTAAACAATTACAGTTCGATACTTTGATCGAATGATTCAAATAACTTAAATATGTATATGATTAATAGATTAAACTTATATTATCTAAATAAAAAACTAAACTTGAGTTTTTGATAGAGTTTTGTTCTCTGAGCTGGATGATTTTGTCGTGGAAGAAGTCTACCTGAAGTTTGTGCTGATGATGTCGTTCAGAAGAACGATGAAATCTCCACGACTAAACCATCTAGCTCCAAGAACAAAACTTCATCAAAATCATCCACCTGAGCTACAAGTCTTCTACACCATCTCACTAAGCCTGAGTACTTCATTCAACTGTGAAACAAGTTGGTAATCATATAAACAAAACAAGCAAACTAATTGAATAAATTATGACGTCCTATTATGTAATGGATAAAATATTCTGTAATGTAACATTTTGACTGACAGTTAAATTTAGAGATTTCTTTTCTCCCTCCTCTTTCTTTCTTTCTTCTTGTTTCTAGCCATACATTCAACAATGTGTTAAGCAAACATGTCATGTGTTTTTTTTAATGCATTAATATCTTTATTCTTTTTGTTTTTCTGTTATCTTTATCACTGTTGGGTGGTGTACTTTTACTCTTCTAATGGACAAATACCAAAATTATCCACTTTGAAATGATCAAATTGGTTGGCAACATTAATGATCAATCTGCTATATTGATTTATGTTATTCCAAGCTGTTTTCTATTGGATTGTATTAGATTACAGTTTGACATTATCCAGTATAAGCTTAATAGCATGTTAAGAATTAAGCGATATGAGAAACTAAGATAAACTTTGATTTAGAAGATCTATACACATGATGCTTGATATAATAGTTAAAAATAGAAAGATTCAATTAGTGTTGTTTTATTTGTATCTCCCCAATGTTAACTAGGACTGCAATTGATCAATTTCTTATTGGTATATGTGCATACTGTGCGTATGCCTCGATATTGCCTTAAATCACAAGCTTTTCAAGCAAAGATGCATAGTGGCTAGCTGTGGAATCCAGGACACGCGTGTCGTCCTATTTGGGACTCGTCAGTTGGATGTATCTGTATCTCACAGTTGATGTTCACTCTGGGACTCGAACCGAGTACCGTTCGTTTAAACGCCATAAGATTATCCACTTAAGTACTAAGTCCAAATAGCCACTTGCTTGTGCAATGGATTGAACAGTTTGTGGTTTATTTCTGATTATAGTTTTTATCGTTAACAAACCGTTTATTATATGATGTCATAATTTTGTATGAAAACGACACCTTTGATTTCACAATATATAGATTCAACTAGTATGTCTGTTTATTCTAGTTAAGTATTCAGTATTAATTGCTTGAGAAAAGTAGTAGCTGGAGTATGTCAGTCATTCCCTAAGTTTATCAGCTGA